CGAGGCATGTGGCTTGCCTGTTCCACTAAAGAGGAAAAAGCATGATGCTGTGAGATAGTAATATCCATTATAAATTAAATAATGATATATGCAAAAGGAAAAGCCCTTTGCAAAGTATAACAGTAATAGCTACCGTCTGTTGAACCCCTGTGTCCCACACACTATACCAAGCACCTTATTATCAATATATATCTCATGTAAACTTTCCATCTCTTCTATAAGCACTATTTATTATATCTCAATGTCTACATATAATTTATTCTTTTGAAAAGCTTGTAATAAAATGAAAAGTTTTTATTACATTAAAATGTTAAATAGCCTGTTAAAGTGTTTTTAGAATAAAATCACAGAACTATGTAAAACAGATTAAAAATATCAAAAATTGGAAGGGAATGACAACAAAATGTCAATAGTGACTGTATTTAGGTGATGAAAATAGAATGATTCTCTTCTTTTCTTTCTACTTGTCTTATATTCCAAATGGAAAAGTTAGAATTTATCCTACACATGTAATAAATACTTTTAAAAAATTAAAATGCTACAGAATTTTCTGAGCCTTTCTGGAGATGATTCTTTGATAGTTTTTTCAATTATTTCCTTTAGGATTGGTTTTTTTAGATTTTTCTACTTCTTGAATGAATTTCGGAACTAATGGTTTTTTCCCAGAAAACCATCAATTTCATTAAGATTTTTAAAAATTTTGGTAGCATACTTACCTCATCTGCTATTATTTGTCATTGATAACTTAATTTTCTTCTCTCACTTGGATTTACCATAGGTTTGTTGTTTTTATGGGCTCATTTACAAAGATTTCATTCTTGGATTTATTTATTAATGTGACTTTTTCTATTTTTAATTCATTTACTTTTATTTTTCTTTTCTAACCTTTTCCTTGGGAATTTCTTTCTCATTCTTTTTCTGATTTCTTGAGTTGAATTCTTAGTTCATTTATGTTCTCTCTGTTGAAATAATAAAAGCAAGTGAGTATATACATCTACCAAGTGCTGATATTTTTTTAAATTGTTCACTAGTGTTTTTTCTGGGGTTTTGTTTTGCTTTGCTTTGTTTGTTGGTAGTTTTGGAAGATATAACTAGAGGGGGAGAAGGGAGGACTCTCCTTGTCATACATAGACTGTCTGCTTATGCCTTAGTAAAGAGGTCAGAGAGGCTTTATCCAAGTAGAGGAATGACATACCTAAGACAAGGGCAGAGCCAGGATTTTAACAGGATCTGTGACAGTGGTTAGAAGCCTCATTTTGTCTGATGTGTAACCACTCAAGTTACCACAGCTGGTGCTCCAAGGCGCTGGTGTGTTGATTCTCTGAAGTTGACGAGTGACTGAAGCCAGGGGTACCTGAAGAATACTCTGGGCTACTCAGTAAGTTCACGGCCTCTAGCAAGGTTTGTGTTTGAAAACCTGATAAAAGAATTTGATACAACAAGGCACTAAATAAGGAGGGAGAAACATGCTAATAGTGCACCGTGCACTAAAGGGGGAACAGGAAATAGTTAAGCATTTTCTACATTTTTTACTTGCTCAGTTGGCTATGAGGGACATATTATGCCAGTCAAGGGAAAGGGCTTTGGCTTTCCATCATGTAATTCTAATGAAAGAAGAACAGGGGTTATCCTTTGTCTAAATGTTTCTCCCCAGAGAGGAGAGTTTTCTAAAGCTTACATGAAAGTCACTCATTTCTACGCTTTCTAAATGTTCCACCCAGGTTTACTTGATCACTTATATTTGCCCGAAGCACAGGGAAGTTAGATCTGATTTTCGTCTTAAAGGAGTTATACTCTTTTACAGGATGACTTGTCAGGCAAAGAATTTCAGAGAGACAAAAGAGATATTGATGGCATTCTCCAAACAGGAAAATTGTTTGTAAGTTGTGAAGAATAAATAGGGTTTAAAAGAAATTATCTTTTTCTATTTACACCAGTATTAAGTTTTTATAAAAATTAAACCTTAACAGAAATATATAATGTATAAAATGCAAGTTCTCTGTAAGTTTACCCCAAGTGATAATCACTGAGAACACATTTAAGATGATTATTTTACAAAAATGATCATATACTGTTTTGTAACTTACTTTTTTTACTCAATATGTCTTTGGCATCTTATAGTTTTTAGTTTTAAAAATCATGAGGGTATAAGGACTTCCCTGGTGGCACAGTGGTTAAGAATCTGCCTGCCAATGTAGGTAGACGTGGGTTCGAGCCCTGGTCCAGGAAAATCCCACAGGCCGCGAGACAACTAAGCCCGTGTGCCACAACTACTGAGCCTGCGCTCTAGAGCCCATGAGCCACAACTACTGAAGCCCACACGCCTAGAGCCTGTGCTCCCAACAAGAGAATCCACCACATTGAGAAGCCTGCACACCAGAACGAAGAGTAGCCCTGGCTCACCGCAAGCAGAGAAAAGCCCACGTGCAGCAACGAAGACCCAACGCAGTCAAATAAATAAAATAAAATTTTTTAAAAAGTGATTGGGTATATAGAAATTGAAATTCCCAAATGCTGGATATTCAAGTTTCCCCATTTAAATAAAAAATCTCTCTTTGTACACATGTTCAAACATTTGTATACGTATTTTATATGGATAATTCAAAGAAGCTAAGTTGCTGGATCAAGGAGTACAGACATATTAATTTTAAGATGTCTTCCAAAAATATACAGCTAACAGTGCCTCTATTTCCACACGCTTTCTAATATTGAATATTATCGATTTTTTGTCTTTAGTAATCGAAAAGATTTTTAAAATCTCATTATTGTTTTAATGTAAATTCTTTAAGTAGTAAATTTGAATACTTTTTAACAGTCATTTTTGTCTATCAATATTTGTGTTCTATAAATGCCAACTTAGGTCCTTTGCCAATTTTTCTACTGGCCTGTTCATGTTTTTCTTTTCTTTTTTTTTTTTCAAGAGATCTTTGCTTATTAGGAAAATCAGCCCTGTGTCTTTGAGATGTGTGGTATATTTTACTCTGAGCTTATATTTTAGGTGGTTTTTTTTTCATTCAAAAATCCTAAACTTTTCCATCACCAGTTCCGTTTATCTTTCTGTTCATGGCTTTTCAGTTATGTCTTTAGGGTTTTTTACGTCACACTTAGAAAGTCCCTCCCCACTCCAAGGTAGCAATAGCTTCACACTTACAAGTTTATTTTTAACACAGCAGCCAGAAAAATCTTTTCAATGCCTAAGTCTGATCAAGCTACTCCTCTGCTCAGAAATTCTGAACGGCTTTTCATCTTGGAGTACAAAACAATATCCTCGCACTCACGCAAGACCCTCAGCTCTCTCTCTCTCTACTCCCAACACCCTTTTGCTCCTTCAGCTCCAGACACCTAAGTCTCCTTCCTATTCTTTGATTATTTCAAATACTCTCCATTCCAGGCCTTTGCATTTTCTATCCCTCTCCCAGAAACCCCTTTACCCCTAAGGGCCCACTCACTCATCTCCCTCAATCTTTGCTCAAGTCAATGTACTAGTGAAGTCCTCAATGACGACCATATTAAAATTGCCTTACTTCTGGGCTTCCCTGGTGGCGCGGTGGCTAAGAGTCCGCCTGCTGATGCAGGGGACACGGGTTCGTGCCCCAGTCCGAGAAAATCTCACATGCTATGGAGCGGCTGGGCCTGTGAGGCCACACCAGTGAAAGGCCCATGTACCGCAAAAAAAAAAAAAAAAAAAAATTGTATTACTCCTTCATTGTCATTCCAAACTCCATATTTTCTTTACCAGGTCCCGCAAAAAAAAAAAAAAAAAAAAATTGTATTACTCCTTCATTGTCATTCCAAACTCCATATTTTCTTTATTTTCTCCTGAGCACTAACAACCACCATCTGATACACTATATATTTTTCTTGTTTGTTTATTGCCTGCCTCCCTACCCCGACCCTCCACACACACACACTTAGAAGTTTTATGAAGGCACGGGCATTGTTCTACTTTAAACTAGTTCCAGCTTCTAGAACAGTGCCTGGCACAGTAGGTGAATAATCAATATTTGTGAAAGAAAGAGAAAGGAGAAAAAAACCCAAGCTTTTCTTACCCATCAGCTTGGCAAAGATCAAAATATTTCATAACATTGCCTTGGCAAGTATAGGTAAACATCGCAGATGCGTTCTGTGATTAGTAATTTGGCACTAAGAAAAGTACAAATGCCCCTACTCTGTGCTCTAGTAAATCTTTTTCTAGGAATATATACTATGGGTATATCCTTACACACAAGAAATTATGATGTTCAGAGTAATTTATTGCAGCATTGTTTGAAAAATAAAAGAATGGAAACAAGCTACTTGACCATCAATAGTGTAATTATTAATAAATTATGGCATAATTGAATACTATGTGATTATTCTTTTTAAAAAAGAGCAAGATGGAAGAAGCCCTTTATGTACAATCTCCAAAATCAATTAGTAGGAGGGGAAAAAAAAACAAGTTGCAGAACTGTTACCATTTGTGTATGGGTGTGTGTATTTGGGGGTGAGGGTGAGGGAATCTAAACCTGCGTAATATACCTATGGAATGATATAGCATATGTCACGAAAAATGGTTGTCAAATCTAGATGCGGGGGCCAGTTATCCTTTTCTTTTCTAATCTTTTTTATTGAAATTTACTTAATTTACAGTGTTGTGTTAGTTTCGAGTGTACAGCAGAGTGATTCAGTTATACCTATATTCTTTTTAGATTCTTTTCCACTATAGGTTATAATTCTTTTTAAACACTGAACTATGTGAATGCATTACATACCCATATTACTTATTTAATAATTAAGTGGGGGAAAAAATCTTGAGAGGGAAAAAGTTTTTTTTTTAAGAGCAAAAAAACCCAGCTTGCGGACGCCTAAGTCCCATCAGTCCAATGTACAGGATCCGGGCCCTCCGCGGGCTAGAGCTGAGGGTGGGAAGCCCGGCGGACGCCACCGAGGCGAGGCTTCCTAGAGCGGCCCGGAAGTGCCCAGCTGACAGCGACCCAGCACCGATTGGTCGGTTTGAGTCTGACCTTTGTTCGGGCCGCCCAAAAGACGCTAGCCGTCGCACCTGTACCTCTCCGCGCGAGGTGAGTCTCTCCCGGCTCCTGGGTGGAGGAGGGGGCTGGGCATAGTCGTGGTCTGCAGCAACTGTCTCCCCACACCTCCCCGTCACAGGCTGTGCCCTCCCACCAGACATAGCTATGAGAGAGGACTTGGGCCGACATCCCGGGAGAACGGAGCGAAAGGGAACACTGGTTACGAGTTGCTCTGCGAGGGCATTCATCCTAACCCCCTTCCTGAGTTGGCGCATGTACCCCACAACCACTGCATCCTAGGGACCCGTACATCTCAGGTTGTGGAATGAAAGAGGCTTTTAACAACGCTGTTAATACTTAGCGTTTATTTAGTGCTTGCTCTCAGGCCAAGGACTTTGCATACTTATTTAATCTACACGTCGACCCTATGAGAAACATGAGAATTTTTACAGATGAGGATCTAGTAACTTGCTCTAAATTACACAACAGCCCAGATTCAAATGCATGCTCCTGCTTCAGTGTTCTTATTTACAGCCTCCTGTCAGACTGTTTTCTCTACTCAGTTCTGGTTGCTTCCCTTTATCAGTGTTTATGTTCACAGCGGCTTTTGTCATTTCTCTATGGTAACAGATTTTTCTCTGAGACAAGATTCTAAGAGATTCTCCTTGAATCAGTTCCAGATAGAGGATTCATCTCCTGAAAAACAGCCCAGAATGGCCACATCCCTGGAACCTGAGGAACAAAAAGGACTTTTAATAGTTAAGGCAGACCATTATGGTGGACAGGACTCCATCTCACAGAAGTACAGTCCTCACACAAGGGAACTCTTCAGGCAGCACTTCAGGAAGCTCTGCTATCAGGATGCACCTGGACCCCGTGAAGCTCTTACCCAGCTCTGGGAGCTTTGCCACCAGTGGCTGAGGCCAGAATGCCACACAAAGGAGCAGATTTTAGACCTGCTGGTGCTTGAACAGTTCCTGAGCATTCTCCCTAGGGACCTGCAAGCATGGGTGCAGGCACACCATCCAGAGACTGGAGAGGAGGCAGTGACTGTGCTGGAGGATCTGGAGAGAGAGCTTGATGAACCTCGAAAGCAGGTGGGAAGGGGGCGGTCATTTGGCTGTGAGAGAGCAGGGTTTAGACCAAGCCAAAGCAAAAAGCATATGAAAGAACACCTGAAGGTATTTAATATGTTACCCTAGAGAAGAACAAGGCTTAGGGACTGACTGCCAGTGTCAAATAACTGAAGTGTGACTGAGTAAAAAGAGACACTAGACTGATTCTATGTCAGTTTGGAAGGCTAGGATCAGTGAGAAGCTGTAGGAAGGCAAAAAGGTATCAGGAAAACAAACAATTTTCTAACATTCATGGTTACCTATACATAACATAGGCTACCTTGTAATAAAAAACTCCCCTTCAAGGTTTGGTTCAAGTAGATAATAAGGATAATACAGAACAGCATGGTCTAATTGTGACCCATTCACATTTAATACATGTAATTAAATATACATTTAATATATGGTAATTAAATATAATGTGAGCCCTATATGTAATTTAAATTTTTAGTAGCTACATTTGTGAAATTAAATACATTTCATTTAACCAAAAATATGTAATCATGTAATCAATATTAAACATGAGGTATTTTACATTTTTTAATTTCAGTTTTCAATATTTGAATGTATTTTACACTTCACATATCTCAATTTGTATTAGCCACATTTCAAGTGCTCAGTAACCACATCTGGCTAGTGGCTATCATATTGGACCACATGCTTATAGAAGAAATGCCCCCATTTGGTGGAAGTTGGGTTCGATGATCTTTAAGGTACCTTTCAAGTCCCCAGACTCTGATTCTGGACCTCTGCAGATCACTGTTAGAGGCACTGAATTTTCTTCTCCAGTGTCCTGAACTGTACAGATTAGACTGCGTCTCTTCGTTTTTCGTCATTATGGCCATTTGCAATTGCATCAGAATTTGTCCTCTTTTCCATGGCCCTGGTTCCTGGCACATGCTTCTTTTGATCTTTCTCTGAAGTTCTTTCAGTTCTTTGACAAAATCTACCTTGCAAGCCCAATCATACTTCATTGTTCCCAGGTCCCAGCCAATTCAGAAAGACAGGACACACTTTTGGACAAGTTGGCCCCCTTGAGAAGGCCACATGAGTCACTGACTATCCAGCTCCATCCCAAGAAGACCCAGCAGGAGCAGGAATCTGGGGAGCCCCAAAGGACTGGTAAGGAGCAGGAGTCTGTGTTTATGAGGGAAGAGCTGGTTCCTTAGGTTACAGAGGAGCTTTCTCACTTTCATCTTCTCCCTTTTAAGTTTTCCTGCTTGTCCTTCACCTCACTGTGGAAGATCTTATCTCCCTTCCTACCCTTGCCCTATCATGGAAAGAACTGTATTTCAGTTTTTTATTAGACTTAAAAGCTGCTATTTGGCCCAAGGGGGTGGGCGAGGAGTTCGCCAGATGTAATCAATGCTACTAATGGAACACAAGATGTGGACTGATAAGAGTCCCTTGAGTTTGGCATTTAGAAGTTAATGAGTCTTACCAAGAGTATCAGGAGGCAGAAGCTGAAAGAGGCAGACTATTTTAATAAGCTTTAGTAAGCTTAACTCTGTGGAATCCTCACCTCTTTTCTGTGAGAAGCCATATGTTTCTCTCCTCACCTTTCAGAGAAGACAGGACACGCACTTATAAAATAGGTCGCAATAATAATTTAACGTGTCAATTGTGCTAAATTGTATTGCGGAGGACACGGAGAATTATTATTATTATGACTAATGGCTTATCTATGCAAAACTTTAAATTCTAGATATCTTTCCTTCTGTTTTGTTTTTTTTTTTACAAATACTTCTGGACCAGTTTCACTCTGCTTCCCGTTAATGTAAGTCCAGAAAATTACACACTTCCTATACCTAAAATTATAGAGGTTTACACATGTGCTGCTACCAAAATAACCTTCCAAGGGAATACTATACAGTTAAAATGTGAACTGTATTTTCTTAATCTAATCTACCAAAAGATACCTCATGAAATCTAGCTATCCTTGAGGCTTGTGACTTCTTAGGGAAGTCTACTTTGTCTGCATTGAACAGTATTAATATGACTTTTTTCTAAGGTACAGCCCTGGCAATCTTACACAATTTTTATCTGTGTTCCCACTACCACTATACTCCCCACCAAAAAACAGACAAACAAAAAACAAAACCACCAAAGCAAAACCAAAGGAAAAAAAGAAAAAAAACCCGCAGAAATCACAACAAATACATTTGAAGAAATGCCTCTCAACTTTATTAAAAGAATGTAATATCTCGTCCAAATCCTCATTTCACAATTAAACAGATATACCCACAGTGATTGTGACTTTTCCAAGTTTCCATAAGGAGTTAGAGGGAAAGCTGGGGCTCCTGCCTATTAGTAGAACAATTTTTTAAAACCATCATGATAATATACCAAAAAGCCAGAGTCTTTTAAAATAAATTTATTGTTAAATAGACTTTTTTATGCAATATCTCGTTTTAAAATTTTCATTGTATCCATATCAGCAAGATTATTAGTATTAGCCGTTGGCTAGGGTAATGGGACTCGTCTCTGTAAACATACCTGGAAATTATAATAGTGGTCACTTAATACAGAATTATCTTCACATATGAGAGAACTTGGAGAACCGAGTGTTTTGCAGTTCTTTGTAGCACATTGTCAGGTATTTCAAAGGGAATTTTTGGATGTTCTGTTAACCCACAACTCTGACTCTCCGGTAGCAGTAAGTGATAGTCTACTTTGTTCCAGTTTCACTTCAGTCAGCATTTAACCTTATTCTTTCCCTCTAGACTGTCAAGCAGGGTGTACATATGGTAATCAAATGGTCTTTATGGACATATCCTCATCTCAGTGACGAGCGGAACTGGGCTTATTTGGAATATAACTGATAGGAACTCTTGGATATGCCAAAATAAAATTGGAAGAGTGGCCCTGGCAGAAGATGCTAAAATGAAATACTCCTAATTTCGTCAGTTCTGAAACAAGATCTCCTAGAATCCTATTAGCCTGGGAATAGCTGGCACTTGGAAGAGATACATAAAGCCCTGAAACTCCGGTTGGCCAAGTAGACTGCAGGTCCCTGAGATGAGAAAAGTTCCCATTTGACAGTTTCCATACAATTTTCTTTATGTTCAATTGCAGATGTAAGGGAGAGGGTTATAATTTGAATTGCTGAACAAGGAAAACTGACCCTGTATTTTAAAAAAGAAATCTTTTCAAGTCCTGGTGAGGGATTTTTCTCCAGACTTCTCCTGAAGTTGTAGGAGAGAGACTCATCCTAAGGACTGGTAGATTCCCCTGAAGGTGGTAAACTGACCACAAGTGCCAACTCTTTGTATCCTTTTTAAAAAGATATTCATCTTCATCAGTAAGCCACTGAAAACCAACCATCAGTGACTCCAGTATGTAAAAGAAGCTGTTGAGCCAACATGTTGATGTTGGAAAACACTTTTCTTAATGGTATGGAGGTGTCTCTGATTTCTGTGATTTGCTTAATGATCATTAACCTACTAACTTAGCAATACTTCTGCCACACATTATACTTTTACACATGCTTTATCATACATTTCATCATCTGATCAAACTATAGGAAAGGAGGAGTGCACAGAGGTGATAAGGAAACCAAAATGGTTATGATCTGCCAACATTTAAACAATTATCAGCAAAGCCAGGACTGATATCTGGACTTTCTGGCTCTAATCCAGTCCTTGTAATTTCTAGCCTGAGATAATATGTTATTTAGATTCCAAAACAATATCATTTTAGAGCAAATAACCAAACTTTAAGAAATATATTGCCTGATTAAAAAATATATATTGTAAGGAGGACGGTAAGATTTGAGTAAGATTTGGTAGGATGGGGACACTGTGATGACAGTGAAGAATGGGATTCATGGCGCTCAGTCCAGAGCCAGTGTTTTCCATACCCAGCCCAGGAACTGAAATGTTCGAGTAGCTCTTGCTGCTTCTTCCATCATACCGAGTGAACCACTGAAAACCATATGTGATTAAATGATTGTTGTACAGTTGGGATTCCTAGGCCTGTTGAGATGGAGGTTTCATCATAACCAAATAGGTGACACCCAGCATTAAGATCAAATAGGTTTATTCCCTCCAAATCATCAAAACACCTATTTTCTTATAGAATTCAACTCAACAAATATTTATTGAGTACTTGCTATGTGCCAAGTTCTATGCTTAGCTTGGGGTTGAGGATATGGGGATCAGAAAGAGGAGAGAGCACATCCGATTTAGGAGGTTAGGGAAGGCTTCCTGGAGGAGACAGCATTTGTGATGGACCTTGAATAATAGCTAGGCCATTGGCTCTCAAAGTGCAGTCCCTGGACCAGCAGTGTCTGTCATACCAAGAAGAGCAAATTTCAGGGCTCTACTCCAGCCTTGTCAAATCAGAAGCTCTGGGGGTAGGTAGCACAGCAATGTTTTGATAAGCCATCCAGATGATTCTGATGCACAATAAAGTTTGAGAACCACCAAGCTAGGGTTTAAACGGGGGGAGATGATAGTGAGGATATCAGTTTCAGAAAAAGGATTCAACCCAGCACATAGATCAGACCATCCACTGTCACTTCCTGCTTAGCTTCCTCCATTTATCCTGACCTGCATGCTCTCTGCTTTTAGCTAACTATTATTTATACATACTTCTCTCCTTTAATGGTTCTGACTCACTATATTCCTCTCAGACCCCTGATCCCATTACCTTCTTCAGTCACTTTTACTTGGTTTTACTCCCACTTACTACCTAGGTTTCAGACCCCTCATGTTTCTCCCAAAATTTTACCTCCCTCCCCATCTGTTTTCTAATATCCCTGTTTATCCCTCTTAGTTATCCTTGGCATGTGTGTAGTTCCCATTTACCACTCTGCATTTGCACAGGATTGCCAGGTAACCCCTCGTCCACACTTTTGCCTTTTCCTCTCTTCATAATCTATTCACAAATAATGTATCCTGCTATCTTCCTTACTGGCCCCTTCTTTAATTTCTTCCCTATATTGTCAATATATGTTTTGATGGTGCCAAATATCTAATTTGTGCATTGCATGTGACTTTTCATTTTTATAACACATTTTTAACATTTACATGCTCTTTATTCCATAGGTTTTTTCTTCTTAAACCTAGAATAGGACCTGTTTGTATACTGTTCATTTGTTACAGGTGATAAAACCAAGACTAAGAATAAAGAGTTGTCCCAGAAGGAAGATATACCCAAAGACATGGAATTCCTTGGGAAAATAAACAACAGACTTACCAAAGCTATTCCTCAGTATCCTGAATCCAAAGATGCTATTGAAAGTGAAGGCAGTTTCGAGTGGCAACAGAGGGAAAGAAGACGCTATAAATGTGATGACTGTGGAAAAAGTTTCAGTCATAGCTCAGACCTTAGTAAACACAGGAGAACTCACACTGGAGAGAAGCCCTATAAATGTGGCGAATGTGGAAAAGCCTTCATTCAACACTCACATCTCATTGGACATCACAGAGTACACACTGGAGTGAAACCCTATAAATGTAAAGAATGTGGGAAAGATTTCAGCGGGCGCACAGGTCTCATTCAGCATCAGAGAATCCACACAGGTGAAAAACCCTATGAATGTGATGAGTGTGGGAGGCCCTTCCGTGTAAGTTCAGCCCTTATTAGACATCAAAGAATTCATACAGCAAATAAGCTCTACTAATACGGTAGAAGTAACAAAAGTTCTTTAGACACTCAGGCCTAATTAGTTAACAGAGAAATCTGCCTTGGAGACCTTGAGTATCCTGATGTAGGCAAAGCTTCAATCATCATTAAAAATTTTTCTAGGGGCTTCCCTGGTGGCGCAGTGGTTGAGAGTCCGCCTGCCGATGCAGGGGACACGGGTTCGTGCCCTGGTCCGGGAAGATCCCACATGCCGCGGAGCGGCTGGGCCCGTGAGCTATGGCCGCTGAGCCTGCGCATCCGGAGCCTGTGCTCTGCAACGGGAGAGGCCACGACAGTGAGAGGCCCGCGTACTGCAAAAAAAGAAAAAAAAAAAAAAATTAGGCCGGGCCGCTGAGCCTGCGCATCCGGAGCCTGTGCTCTGCAACGGGAGAGGCCACGACAGTGAGAGGCCCGCGTACTGCAAAAAAAGAAAAAAAAAAAAAAATTTCTCTGGCACCAGAGAATTTACCTGAATAAAATTTCCTTTTATTTCTAAAGTAGTTCAGTTTCTTGGAAGGAACTAAGAGTTATTTCAGAAAGCCTTGTCCACTGCCAGCATTGCTCACTTGCAGCCCAAGATAACCATGTTTCCTGGTCCTGGTTGAAAGATGTGAATTCTACCTCTCGACTCTGGCTCCTTTTTCCTTGGCCACTCAGTGTATGACTTTAGGCAAGACATTTATATTTTCTCTGCCTTCATTTTCCCATTCTGCAAAGTGCAGATGATATAATAGAAGCCCACCGGGTATGCTGTATTAAAATAGATGAAAACTGCTTTTGAAATTAAGAACTAAAACCATACTATTTTTCCCCATCATTAGTGATGTAATGGCCTAAATATCCCTTATCTTAAAGTGGGGAATATAATAATTTTGTGGAATATTTTGCTTTGCCAATGAAAAAAAATGAGGAAACCACCAGAAAGCAGGCTAAGAAAAACATTAAAATGGAGAGGAAAGCAATAAGTCATCAGTGGGAGCTGCTGGGAAGGGGGATGATGGAGTGTGTTAGGGATCTGTAACTTTGGATAAGTCACTTCTCTTCTGAATCTCAGGTCATTTAAAATGAGGGAGATGGGGAGAGGTTGGTCTAGAACTGCACTGTCCATTATGGTAGCCAGTGCCCACATGTGGCTATATACATTTAAACTTAACTGAAATAAAGTGGAAAATTCAGTTCCTTGGTAACATTAGCCACATTTCAAGTGCTCAATAGCCACGTGTGGCTAGTAGCTACAATAATGGACAGCACAGATCCAGACCATTTTTTATCACTGCAGAAACTTCTCAAGGACATTGCTGTTCAATCATTGGTAGGGTAACTTCCAGCTTTGGTATGTGATTCTGAGTTCAGGATGGTAGCAAAAGAGATATCTGAAGAGGCTGTAATTGCAATAGGAGATAAAGTACAAACACCTTAAAACAAAGTAATTTAGTAAAAATAACTCTGTGGTACTTTTTCAGCCTTAGAAAGAGAGTATTGTAATTGGAGAAAGATGATTATTAAGTAAATACAATAACCTAATAATCAATTGAAAGCTTAACTTACTACCTCATCTCTATAAAAAGAGTGTAATTACCTTTACAAGGTAACATCCCCTGTCAGTTACCCTATACTAATGAGAAACTGGGACTCTCAGGACACTAATACTTTAAGACACAGTGAACAATTTAGTTTTTCTTTTTCTTTTTGGCTTCGGAATGTATTAGCATTTCATGAACGTATTTGCGACAGTTTTACATCACTAGTTTGAGAATTTTATAGCATGACAGGAATTGTGACCAAAGGCCAACACGTTCAAATTTACAACACCATCAAACTGCCACAAACCACTGATTCTAGGAATAGCCATCACCAAAATGATCAGGAAGTGATCTAATCTCTTACTGAAGACATTAATTACACATACTTGCTTTGAGAGTCGGAAAAGCACCAGAATCATTTTGTGTCTGCTACTATTGGAAGATGACTCTTAAATCATTTCCTCATAACACCATAAAGATAAACTGAGCTTTTATGTCTTTTGAACATAATGCTTTTAAAAAAATAAAAGTAAGTTTACTTTGAATGTATACATCAACTGATACAAATATTTTAAGACATCAGGTTTCACACTCATACTTGTTTTTTCATTTATCTGAGCACTATTTCAAAACATTTGAAACAAAGGATTTTTTAATGATCATGAAAAGTAAAGTATTAAATCTTTAGTATTAGAAACATCCTTATCTAAAAAATAAAGTTAGGTGCTTAATGAATGACAGCTTTTCCCCCTTTACCTTCAGTCTTGCTAAAAAACTGTCATGTGTAGAAGCTGTTCACAGTCTTTAAAGGGGAAACTCATGTTTCTGATCTTATCCTTGAATTTAGAGTCTTCTGCAATGGTAAGAAAGATGATCTTGGCTACCACAACATTAAGTTTACTCAAATGGGTAAAAACAATAACAGACTGATTTTCCTCTAACGTACTCTGTATGACTGAACATTCTATTCAGGTAGTAGTTTTGAATACCTGTTGTGTATAAAGAATTGTTCTAGTCTTAGAGTTGTATACCCTCAAAGTCTGAGTGAAGAGTAGTTTGGAGCACTGAGTCTATGCTACCCTTTTTAGTCTGGTGTTGATTCCAAATTGCCACCACAGTGTCCACCATCTGATCTTGACCAGAGGGGCAAGGATAAGAGTCAGGGAGGTACAGAAGGATTTGGGGCCAGAGACAGCCTGGTGTGATAGTGGCAAGAGAAGAAAGTCCAGTGGGACCTGGGATAACTGCTGGCATAAGGCAAAGGAGGCATGAGGTTGAAGGAGATCTAAGTAGTTGTTAGTATTATGAAGGATTAGGCAGTGTCCTAGTAAGTCTGTAGAAACGCACAAAAAAATTGGTGAGGATGCAAGCAGTTAGAAAGAAGAGCTCTGAGTTCAATCACAGCCACAGTTATTGGAAAAGAAGGTGTAATATGTTAGACGCCGTAATCAGAACCACTGAGTTCTAGCAGAGAGCCATCCTGGAATGTTGGCACCTGCTCTAAAAGAACCCTAAACATGGAAGGCAGTTTCTCAAATAGTTGTGTCAAAAACATATGCATCACTCCTCCCAAATTTTTTGGAGGGTTTTTCTTTTTTTTGGAGGGAGGCAAGAACTTGTAGTTTGTAGTTTTCATGAACTAGTAGAACAGACAGTGATTTTAAGAGGCATCTAAAGGGAGTACGGGGGCAGTTCTTTCAGATACAGTTGGGGAATGGTTAAACTGGTGATGTTGAATGAGGAGCCAACAGCTATAAAGGGAGGAAACAGATGAGAGTTGGGGTAGGAGAGGATGTCGGAGGTATGCACGGGCCTTGGTGAACATGGGGGAAACAAGATAGAGGAGAAGGGGATGGAACAAAAAGAGAATGATAAAAAAGGAGCAAGGGTATAGGGAAAGGAACAAAGATAAAATAAGAGATGGTGATAGAAAAGAGTGACAAGTCTAATATTGACATCAATTATAATTGCGACAGTGGGTCATATGCCACAGCCATACGAAGGTGAACAGATCAGCTTATCCCAAGGTCATTGAGTCTTACATGCACAGCACATATTATTTATGTTATCTTTATTGAATGGGTCTACAATCTCATTCTGAGCATGAAATTATTTCTTTATAGTCTAATCAAAATGTCCATCAACAGTGAAACTGCTAGAAACTTTGAAATGCTTCAAAACAACCTGTTCTCCCCTTAGTAATATCACAGGGCAATTAGACTAAGGTTCTAAAAGAATAGATCTCTCAGTCTTTCTTACTCAAATCCTCTACAGCACAGTTTCTCAACCTTGGTTTTACTGACATTTTCAGCCAAACAATTTCTTGCTGTGGGGGGGCTGTCCTCTGCAGTGTGGGATGTTTAGCAGCATTCCTGGCCTCTACCCTCTAGATACCAGCAGCCCCAACTTGTGGCAAGCAAAAATTTCTTAAGAGATGCAAATGTTCCCTGAGGAACAAAATCTCTCCCCCGCCCTGCCAGCCCAGTTGAGAACCATTGCTCTATAGGAAAATAATCTGATTTCCATGACCGTTCCACATCATATACAATAAGATTCAACTTAGAAATGTTATATATGGCCAGCACTGTTAGACCCTTTTACTACCCCACAAAATGATTTTCTAGACCTTCTTCTTCCCTCTATACCATACTTCTGCTGCTACCCTCTCCTTTTCCCCTTGACCCAACCACAAATAGACACTTTATCCTTGATCTGCACTGTCCAATACATTAGCCACTAGGTACATGTGGCTATCGAGCACTTGAAATGTGGCTACGCAACTGAGGAACTAAATTTTTTTCACTTTAATTTAAATTTAAAAACTGATACTCAATTCAGTTATTGGAAAACCTTTAAGTATGTTCGGTGTATTTCGGGTACAGGAATCTATTTTTTCCATTCAAAATTTTATGTAATCTCAATACAGATCAAGTACTTCCAATGAAAATTTAATAACTGAATTGAGATGTGTAGTAAGTATAAACACACTGGATTACAAAGACTTAGTATGAAAAAAGGAATGTAAAATATTTCATTAATAAGTTATATTAGATTTTAAAATAATATTTTGGATATACTGGTTTAAATAAAATACATTAAGAATTAATTTCACCTATCTTTTTACATTTTTAATGTGGCTACTAGAAAACTTACATCCACATAGGTGGATCACATTACATTCCTATTAATTGGACAACACTGATCAAGATCTCACTCTCAGGGAAGGTCCCATTCACTATGTTCCAAACCACCTCAATTCTGTGAGGTTAAGTTCTGTGCTGCCAAGGACTTTTTACCTTTTTCTTCTTATTCATTAATCCAACAGGTATTTACTGAGTGCATGCTATGTGCCATGCCTCTATTTTAGGTATTGGGGATAGAGCAGGATATAACAAGATATTTCCATGTAAGACTGTGAGAAAAATAGTGAATGTTAAAATTAAAGGTATAATTCTGTCCTTTCAGATGGAAGACTTATGAAAAAAAAGGCAGGGTTTTTCAGGTTAGGTGTGGGGAGGAAGGAAAGAAAAGGGGGAAAAATAGATTGTTACTTCGGGATTACAATTTCATTTCAATTTAATAAGATTTT